GAGTTTGACGTAACATTTCATATGAAAGACAGAAGGAGATTACGAGAATGATAACTTTCGTGTAATGATTACTGCTGTCGACGGATACCTAACAGGGATAAAATAAAAACGGGAAACTATTCTTGAGAGAGGTTTTAAAAATTTAAGGCAAGCTCATGGGGCAAGAGCTCGACAACTCTGGTAACAAGAAAATGAAAGACAACTTTTGCAACTTTTTACAAACCAGCTCATAACTGGATCAGTAAGATATTTTTTCAGAATAAAAATCCTGTCTTTGAGCGACTGAATTCTGTGATTCCAAAATAGCTATAATAAAGTGGCAATTGAAATTCGTTACGTGCAATTTTGGTTGAGATTGAAGGAAGAAAGTTGGGATTAAATTGATTGACAGGAAAGCCGCTGGAGCACAAGAAAAAAAAATGCTGAAGAAAGTGAAAGAACGAAAACACGCAACGAAGCAAAAAAAAAAAAAAAAGTATTGAAGAGTACAAAACTAGGCCCTGAAAATAAAAACCGCGACAGTTCGTAAGAAGTAAGCGGAAGATTACGAGCGTGACAGCCTTCGTGTACTGGTTACTGCAATTAAGCTATACCTAACCGAGAAAGTAAGCAAACGTTCGATGTGTCGCAACAGAAAGTTTAGAAGTTCGAAGCAACTTCCTGGAGAAACACCCCGAACAAGCCGGTAGCAACGAGAAGGCAAGTGGCCGAGCAGCAGCTTAGTCTCTAGGGAACTCTTTGCCTTTAAGGACCATTACTCCTTCAAGATGTTTGAACAAATTTAAACGGAACCTGGAAACCCATTTATTTAGGACAGCTTTTTGCCAACTTCAATGGTTCCCATTTTTTTTTTTTTTTTTTTTTTATATTACCAAGAGTTTTTGTTTTTAAGTTTCTAACTGTAGAGATGTATAAAATGTTTCTTATGTACAAAGTAGGTTAAATATAGAGGCGTTCAATAACTGCTACATGAATTGTATATATTATTAATCGCCAAGCCATAACACGAAATAAACACGACTTTGAGGAAACAGAGTCAAATTTTGCATGTATATTAGTAGCAAGTAAATTAATGATTTTTCGTATAATTTATAAATTCTCGTAAATTTTTGTAAGACATTAAATGGCATTCACCCTATAGGCTAGTGCAATTTGGCTAGCCTTTGAAACATTTACTCGTGTTGATTTATCCCAAATTGCACTCGAAATCATGTGATAAGCTAATCCATTTATTTAGATCACTATTTTATATAAACATGTAAAGATTATGACAAGGAAACGGCATATAGAAAATGTCAAGAGAGGAATATATCAAATTGCTTAACAGCAACAGATCACCAGACAAAAGACTTTATATTCAAATCCAGAAAAAATCTTCTTATAGGAACTTGGGTAACAACCAGATAGAGGAGCTACTGCCAGGAGTCTTCAATAAAAACACCGAGTTGACTTACCTGGAAGTAACATTCATAGGTCCATATTCGATACCATCGATTCTTATTTATTGTAATTGATGGTAACTACCACTACGCGTTTTGATACATTCATAAGCAGCTTGCTTTTTAATTAGCTGCGTCAATCAGAGAATAGTAACCTGCAACAGTATATTCAGATAAAAACCTTTCCCTGCTAGGGTTATGCGTCAAACCTTAAAATGAGACAAAAAAATCAAATTAAATAAAAAAATTTAACTCGTAAGACAGTGCTCGAGCTTATAGAGGGCGAAGTCAACCATGGAAGGGATTGTTTGTGGATGGACAGAGTAAACCAAACAAAAGTAAATATACTCATTAAAGAATCCTTTCAGTTTCATTGTCGGTGCTCCTCGTTATGTAAATCACATTTTCTAATAATCAGTGACTGATTGAAAAGATGAATGACTAAATCTTAGGAGAGACAAGAAGCCATCAGGTGCTCCAAAGGCCAAGCCAAATGTATTATGCAGTAAAATTTAAACAAGGGTGGTATTCGAATGAACTGAACTAGAACTACTTTCGAGTTCACTGAGTACTTGTTAATTCCTAAATTATAAGCTTTAGACAGGCAATCGGTTCAAATAATTTTATTTCAACTGATTCAAATTAGAGTAATTGTAGCACTTTTTTTAACTCTTCTGCTCATACAGACTACTCAACAACAACAACCTGGAAAAGATACAGAAGGGTTTGTTTGACGGTTTAACAGCATTGACGCGCCTGTGAGTTTAGGAAAGGAAACTTTAAATACAAAAAAAAAAAATAGTAGCTAAAATTATTTTTTAAAACAAGCGGAACCTCTGCAATGAAGGTGGAGAATTATGTGTTTTTGGGTAAGGAGGGAAAGCATGAAAACGTATTGCTAAAGATGGCCATACGCTACGGTGAAGGCTTCTTTCATAATGGCGGGCGTGATTCTGACTCATTTGAATTATGCAAATAAGCCATCCTGGCTCCACTTTTGATCAAAACTTCTATTGATAGTGAACTTGTGGCGAAGGTCAGAAAGGCTCATTTGCATTTATATGCATTGTTATTGGATGAATGAGCGAGTTAATGCGCAAGGTGGTCGTTCCAAACACTAAATCAATTAATAACAGCAGTGTTGCACAAACGAAACACCATAGGAAAACGAGGTTGCCAGCTTCAAAATTATTGAAAGCTATCAAAAATCAACTTAAAAAAAGGTCAAGATGTTGATCAGTATTATGTAATACTAATATAAGTATTAGAAACACACCCAAATTAGACGATGCAATTACAAATTTAACTAAATAAAAAGGATTGTCGCATCATTCCAACTTTTATTCAGATGGCTGCAAGACAACAGAATTGAAACGCCGCACAAACAAGTTTTCAAAGATTTGACTGAACTGAACGACCTGTGAGTTTAGTCAATACAATGTGTTTATAAAAGTGTTGGCTCTTTATCAATTTTCTGTTCCTTATATCAGAGATGATAAAAGAGGCCTAGTGACCATGTCACAATCAATTGCAACATGGCAATCCTAAGACGATTGTACATCATAAAAGGCAGGTTTACCGAAAGCTTATAGCGTCGAAATTCACTGGTCTCGGGTTCTGACCAGTGGGCGTTCCTCATTAGTATTGGGTTGCACTACTCTACTTCATTTCCCTCCCATCAGTTAGTGTTACTTGAGTGAAGAGCATGAAAACTATCCACAGTAGCTTGGTGCACTTTCATCATAATTATAATGTTACAGCAACACAGCATGCTACAAGTGCCCGTGAAACGCAGCGAAAGAATTCAGAGTGTTTTCCCACTGTTTCACTTTTTGTGGGATTTACATTTCGGATGGCGTTATTTTTTTTTGAAAGACTAATGCATTTTACCTTGAAACTTTCAGGGATCTGTCTAATAATGAAATTGAGGATCTCCCTCAAGAAATCTTCAGCAATCTGGCAAATATCAAAATACTGTAAGTCAACAAGAAAAACAAATAAAAGAAAATGAAAAGCACGACGAGAAAAGAAATTTTCTCTCTAAAATTTGTCGAGCGGCAAAACTTTCCGCGTTTCTGTCTGAATTTCAACGCACATACACAAAAATAGAGGTTTTGAACTTAAAATCGAGTTTTCATTAAATGTTATCACTCCAAATGTCCTTCGAATTGATCTAATTAAAACCGTTCATTAAAACGTGTCTCACTGAATGAATGCAAAACACGCATATTTATATTACACAGATATGTAAGCATATCGTTATTTGGATCTTATCGGTTGCCATCATTATCTACGGGAACCAGTTCTGCTTTGCAGTTAAAGGTAGTGTGTGTTTAACTGTTGCAGGCTTTTATCAAACAACCAACTAAGAGATTTACCGCCAACGGTATTTGCTAACCTAACCAAGCTAAAGACAATGTGAGTAGTAAAAAATGGTTTGAATGACTGAATAATTGTGAAGGAGGATTATCCTCTCTTGTTAATTAATAGTCGATTGATCGATTGATGGAATGATGAATTTTTGGGATAAAAAAAAAAAAGAAAAACGAAAACATTTGCAGCACATCTCAAAAGATACCCAATGTAAAGTACAAAGATGTAGTTGTTCTAAGAATTGCTTTTGAATTCGATAATTCTGGAGCTATTGAGGTCAAAGACAGATTTATTCAGTTGATTTGATAAATTGCCAAAATAAATCGAAGATTGCTCTCGTTTTACTTTATTCCCTCTCTGATCAATATAAAAACCTGTGCCACCCTATCAACCAATCGGGCATCAAACCAAAAGCCAAACGTCACTTGATAACTCGCATTTTCCGGCGCGTGAGGCTTTGTGCTTGAATTTTTTGTACTTCTAATGTACACTGGTTCCTTAGCCTCCCTTTGCTTTGATTGATTATTGTGATTACTCCGACTCTTGCTTTTGGACACTCACTCAAAAGGTACTCTAAGTACCGACCACTGATATAACATTCAACGTTTAAATTAAAAGAAAACTGGCCAAGAACATATCCGTGATTTGCAATTCAACAGAAAAATTGAAAGGAATGAGATAAAGGAGCTGCATCCTCAACAGTTTCGGGGACTGGTAAAGCTGTTTGACCTGTGAGTAGTTCGTTAAAATTTATGTATTCCACAAGTTCTGAATCTAGGCATCTATCAAAAGTAAAAATATATTATCGTGCAGGTAACATATTTTGGCCTGACTGCTGAATTTGTTCATTACTGCAAGCGGAATAATGTCTACTCCGATCCACCTTTTCATGTTTTTAAGACATCCTTTCATTTCCTGGAATTTCTGATTTTAAGTCATGATGAGGGTCTATGTAGGACCTTTTTCTTGATGCTAACGATACATCACGCGAGTGGCTTTTCAGTACCAAGTTTAATTTGTTATACATCCTTGGAAATTTTGCAATTCATGCCTGACTATACGCCTTAAAAGAAATCTCCTGAATCCCAGCCCATCAATTATCTTTCACCAAAAATTTCTCGTAATAATATTGCAAAACGTTAGTGAGCATTCTCATGATCCCTTTGATTCCTATGAAAACGATTTCAAATGCCCTGTTCTTTAATCCATTATGTCCAACATTCATTTCATTTGTTTCCTTTCTTCACTAGCTATCTATCGGGGAACAAACTCAGATACTTCCCACAAGGAATTTTTAAAGGCTTAAAAGAGCTTTTGATTATGTAAGTAGACTATGAAATTCTTCAAGTGAGTAATAAGCTTTGAAATTACCTATAACGATCATGACATTTGAATGCATTTAATTTCATCTTTAAATGATTATTTACACATCAATGTCGAAATATTTTACCTTCCCTGTTACTGATTAAGTTCTTTTTGTTAGAGAAATTGTTGAAAACGAAATGACACATGTCTCCATCGACAACTTCAAAGAAATTAAACAGTTAAAAATTCTGTGAGTGTTATAATTAATCAAGTGATGACCAAGTTGTGAAACGGACCTTGTTACCTTAAGGTGTAATATTTGACAATTGAAACATTATGAAAACACTTCAAATCGATGCTTTTATTGTAAAAGCATCTTACGTTATCTGCAACTCACCGGAAATGTTTTCCTGACAGCAGATTGATTATTTGCTGAGTGGGAGTAAGTTTGTAAAGAAACTTTAGTGCTGCGTCGGCGCAGGGCATTTCAAGATATTTGGTGTCATTCTACATCGAAACTCTGATTGGTTGAGAGCGTACAGAATCTGTCTCTTAGAACACACGCCTGGCCTGTCTCTTGGAAAAAGTCAGACCTGTACCCCTTGCCGAAGGTTGATATACCTAAGGGAATATCAGACTTCCGCGGAATAAATGTGACACCTGTCATCGCAAGGTGCTTTGAGAAAGCTGTCTTAGGAACACACGCAAGGGAGACCTTCGATGAACATTCTGGGATCTCACAGTTTGCATACATAGAGGGAGGGAGCTGTACCAATGCTCTACTGACTATCCAACATACTGTCAATCAATATCTTGATATCCCAGAGTGCAAAGCGGTACGCCTATTCGCTATGGATTTCAGCAAGGCTTTTGATAGTGTGAAACACGATCTCCTCTCACACAAATTGAAGCAACTCCCCCTAAATCCTTTTATAGTTAACTGGTATCTAAGCTTTTTTGGAAGACAGGCAGCAGAGAGTCATTAGAAATGGGTTTATTGGAAAATGGAAAAGTGTTAACAAAGGTACCACCCAAGGAAGTGTCAGCGGGCCGCACTTGTTCAATGTCTTTCTCAGTGATTTAGAGATACACTTGGACAATAAGAGCGTGCTGGTAAAATATGCAGATGATACAACCATTATCTCGCCTGTGATAGGTGATAATGACAATTCTATCGCACTGATTAATCAGTTTTCCCAGTGGTCTAGAAGTAATGGTATGTGTAGCAATCCATCTAAGTGCAAGGAAATCATTTTCCGCAAGAAAGGTTGTACAATAGAGTTTCCGATGGTGTCTGGAATACCACAGAGAAAAAAGAGCTTACTATTTTAGGGGTAACATTTCAGGAAGACAGTAGGTTCATAACACATATTCGGGAAAAACTAATTAAAGCAAACAAGTGCCTGTTCATTTTAAGATCTTTAAGGAAAGAAGGGTACAATCAGGCCGAAATAGACCATCTGTTTCTAAATCTGGTTCTACCAAATATATTATACGGGTTGTCCGTATTTGGCGCTGTAAATTCGAATTAACAACAATCCAATGTTTCTTAGATCGATGTTATAAGCGCAAGTATACATCCGATCACATTAATGTTTATGAATTGTTAGTTCAACAGGACACGCGTATCTTCAAGAATGTTTTTAATAATACAATACACCCTTTAAGAGCTATAATGCCAAAAAATAAATTAACCAAGTACAATCTGAGGAAAGAGACAAGTCACCATCCTAAAATAAACACTGATAGGTTCAAAAACACGTTTGTTAATCGCTTAATTTTTAAACATAATCTAGTCTTATAATTTTTATCTTGATTTTCTCTGTAATTTATATATATACCTTCTTTTAATGTTGTAACATAGGATATGTGATTATTTATCTTATGACTTAATAAAGATTCAATGAATGAATGAGTCAATATACCAAAGCGTGTGAAGTTGACATGATAACCGATATATCCATCAGGTATTGGGTTATCATGTGGAGTTCAAAGTCTGACTAGTTTCCAACCCCCTCGTCAGTGTAACGTCCTGCAAAACCCTGTGTCTGCTTTAAATGCCTCAGCCTCCGGCTTCGGCAGATAACTCAGACTTCAGCATTATGATAATATCATGACCAATCTTATCCAATATTTAATTATTATCAAGTGAGTTGGAGATGTAAATTGGCCACCCTGAATAGCCTCAAAAGCGGACCCCTGAGCATTAGCCCTTCGTACAAGAATAGAGGAATTGTAAGTTGTAGGTGGTTTAGAAACAGGAAAAGACGCTTCGCGATTAGAGGGAACCCGATCACGAAATAAACACGAATAAATTATTTAAATGAAAGACTTCGTTGACATTGTGGGATTAAGAGAGCTTATTTGATAGATTAATTTTTGTTGTGGAGTTTTGCGGCTTTTGATCACTACATTTTAATCTCCTAATTTAATTTCCAGGTATATGCAGTATAACAAGATGAGGGAGATTCCATATGGTTTTTTCGATATGTTGAAGGATATACAACGAGTGTAAGATTTTGATAAAATTCATTCGCAAATTATTAGTTTTTGAGCAAAGCTATACATTTTGAGTAGACAACATTTTGGGGAAATTCAAGTTTTTGCAAAAAGAATTGAAGACTTGGATTCTTAAAAAAAATATTTTGTATAAGTCAATGGATAACTCCAGCCATCAGTTACTGATATATTCTTAAAAGCAAGTTCTTGTCGACTGTGAAGTTTTAATGAAATAACTTCAGTGGATGATATTTTACAATTGTAGGAGTCTCGACACAAATCTGATGTGTTGTCATATGCACAAGGAGGACGCTGACTGTGCTTTCACGTACAACGACGACTTTGCCAACTGTGAGAGCATGTTTAAGAATTCTGCCCCAAGGAAGAGTATCTGGGTGATAGGAATATTTTCTCTGGTTGGTGCAGTGTTTGTTGTCACTTGGCGAGTGATCTTTAAAGAAAAGAACGTGGTTCAGTCCATCATGTTGCTCCACTTAGCAGTGTCCGATGGTTTGATGGGTATTTACCTGATCTCTCTTGGCACTAAAGATCTGTTTTGGAGAGGAGAGTATTACTTGCATGACTTCCAGTGGAGGTCTGGTTTGTCTTGTCAAATAATTGGAGCGATCTCCCTTCTGTCAAGTGAGGTTTCGGTTATGATGATGACACTGATATCTGCTGATCGGCTTAAAAATATTGTGTTTCCTTACCAAGGTGCTTCTCTGAGACCAAAAGCAACACATATCCTGTGCATCATCATATGGGCAATTGGCTTCCTTATGGCCTTTTTGCCTATGTTTGGTATTCAGTATTTTGAAGACCCATTCAGGTACCATAGTTACTATGGTAGAAGTGTGGTATGTCTACCCTTGCAGCTTACTTCTGATAAGCCGGCAGGTTGGGAGTATTCTGTTGCTATCTTTCTCGCTTTGAATTTTGCTTTTTTCTTGTTCATCATGGGTGCTTATCTCATGATACTAGTCAAGTCTTACTTGTCTAGCCGGCGACTGGCCCGTCAGGGTACTGAAAGAGAGATCCAGGCCAGAAGAGCAAACTTTAGGAGGGAAACGGCTCTTGCAAGGCGGGTGTTCTTCATCATCCTGAGTGATTGTGTGTGCTGGATGCCGGTGATAGTGATTGGTATGAGGACCATCATCGAGAAGTCTTACGAAGCGCGAGGAGACCTCGCTGTCTGGATCGCTGTATTTGCCCTTCCGATCAACTCGGCCTTGAATCCTATCCTGTACACCTTGTCAACAGAACAGGTGCGTTATGCGCTTTTAATCCATTATTAGTAGTCAAGATAATAAAATCCGTAAGTAGACTTACAATGGCTAGGTACAGGAAGGGTAATGGTTTTCAGCCGACTATAGGCAGTGTATAATATTGATCAAGGCTGCTTTGTTCACTTGCAATGGACACTGACAATGTTTCAAAAGCATTGGACAACAGAAATTCGTCAGTTTCTATTTTGTCATCGGAGCTCAGCTTAAGACAGTGAGCGAAATCTCGATTATTTTGTATCCAGGCCAGAGGCATTCTGAAGAACAAAATGGAAAAAGTCTGGAACTACTTGAAGACCGTTTTCACCTGCTGTGGTCGGGATCAGGAAGGTGCGATATAATTATCAGCTCCTGATAAGAAATAAACCGAAAAACGATGTAAACTAACAGATTGCTGCAAACACAGTTTATTGATCTATTGATTTGTTCATTCGGTCACTCAGTCATAAATCAATTCACTCATGCATGCATAGAGGCATTCATTTAATCATTTACTCGCTCGTTCGGTCCATCGTTCTTTTATTGGTCGATTCGTTTGTTGTACGAACTAAATATTTCTTGACTCGATCATTGACTTTTCTTCGTTGTTTTCTTTAAAAGGCCAAGGAGATGGGGAACAACCGAACCAACCGGGAGCAGAAGACAATGGACAACATGGCGGCGAGGGAGGTAAATCCTTACCCGTATTTCTAGAAAGACCGTGAAAACTATAAACGAGGGAAATAAAGGGCAATCTGTGACTAAAAATATTTTTTTATGTCTTCTCTCTTCTTTTTATGTTCTCTTTTTTTTTTTAAATTTTAAAATTAAAGGCCAAGGAGAGGGAGAGCAAGTTAACCAGCACGGAATGGAAGAAAATATAGAACATGAGGGCCAGGGAGGTAAAAACCTTTCAGATGTCAATTAACATATCATACAAAGTTCAAACGAGGGCGCAGGGTTAGTCTGTGTACATTTTTTATCTACTTTCTCTTTTCAAGGACAAATTGAGGGTGAAGATATCGAATTGGCGAGTGTTGGTGTGCATTATCCACAACAGGGTAAGGTTAGAGTTTCTAATTCAATGTCAAGTTTTCAATGCTGTTCTGTTAGTTTATATTGTACTTCTGTTCCTCTATAACTGAAGGATCTATGACGTTAGGATATTTTCATACACACAAAAAAATTTCATCATTATCATTTTAATTACTCAACCTTTCTTGTCTATTACGTTTTAGTAGTTTGAAATTGTAGATCTCGTTCTGCGTTCGTCACAAAAAATCCTTCGTTCCATCACTTATTTGTTTCTTGGCTCGTTCACAATTTTTTTTCTTTGCTTTCTTTAAAAAGGCCAAGGAGATGGAGAACAACTGAACCCACAGGGCATGGAAGACATTGAACAACATGGCGGCTTGGGAGGTAAGACATTTTTTCCTTCTAGTGAACACAGAACGGACATGAAAACTGTGAATGACAACACAGTGCAATCTCTGACTATATTTTTTATTGACAATACTTTTCAAGGGGAAGTCGAGGGTGTAGTTATCGAACTGGCTCATGTTGATGTGCGTCATCCACAACAGGGTAGGCTAAAGTTTTTCCTCTAATGTCATCTTTATGTAGATAAAAGCTCCGTACTGAAGTTTTCGTTGCTGTTCTGTTAGCTTGTATTGCCAAGACTCTACAATATGTTGTATTAATGGTAGTTTTTATTTTGTTTTCTACTTCTGGAGGGATCTGGGTCAGATGGATATTTTCGTACACACAAATCAATACAGTTCATTTACATTATTATAGTTATCCACCCCTCGTCGTTCATTACGTTAGTTCTAAATTCTATGGATCTCGTGTTCTAACACAGTTTTGTAAGGTTTAAAAGTTTTGAAAAATTTCTTTGTTATTTTGTCTCCAGTTATTGTCATTATTTGAAATAAAGAAAAACAAAATAGTCTGACTTGATTCTGAAACAATCACTAATAATTAGATAATGGAAAATAAGGTACAATATTGTTCATTAGTTTAAAATAGAAAGAAAGACAGTGTTTACCTTTTTGTTTCAAGGAGTACTTGATGAAGCCGAAAAAATCGAACCGGCACCTATTGAGAATACTGATCTAAATCAAGGTAACTTGTCTTACCTTCTTTATTAAAAATGTATAGCCAACCTCGTTTTTTTTTAGAAAATTGGCCGCTATTCTTTGTTTGTTTTACAACTCATTCAGTGTTACTGTGGTAGAGATAGACAAACCTTCTAAGGTCTATTAAGCTCTCCTGCGTATCGATCAGTTCAGAGTCTCATTACCTCCCTTAGGTATTGCCAAGCTCTAAATGAAGTAAATTTTTAATTTCACAGTTGGCTTTCTTACCACTATAACTGGTGGTCAAATCAAAGAATATCAATTATCCTCAAACAGGACTAAGAGATGAAATTTTTTAATGCAAATGGGCGAAATTTGGGCGCAATAAATTAAGATTTTGCATAACAGGTGGCGGCCAAAATGAACGGCAATAAGTATGAAAACATCAAGTTGAGTATAGATTCACGTAATTCTCATTTGGGAGCTTTAACATTCTTATGCAATTCTTTCAAGAAAATTGCCAAGCAAAAGATAAAAAAGACCAAACACTTAAGAAATCCCAAAGTTTGACATAAATCTATTATGTGTAATATCACAAGTGTCTGATAACTGGTAATTGAAATGTCACGACCACGAAAGCAGGGTATTTCGGGTCTTTTATCCGTTTTTAATTTAGCTTTGGGTTTGTTTCGCAAAAAGTCCAATGTTCTGTTGCGAATTTTGATGAGTCTCGATAGAAAAGAGAAGGCCATTAAATATACCCGATGTAAATTTCTTTGGCAAAAAAACAGTTTTTCATGTAATAATTACTTCCACTTTATTATTCTATCCTCTTTGTTTCGCCGACATTTTGCAAAAAAATTGTAATTTTTTCGTTCTTATTTTTATTCATTTTTTCCTTTATTTGCCGTTTTATGAAATAAACAAATTTTTTTGCGAATTTATTTGGAATACCTCGGTAAAATAAAACAGCAACAACAAACAAACCAACAAAACAAAACGAAAGCAGCCGGTTTATTTCGGTTTATTTCTCCAGCATTACCTCGCGGATTACCCTACAGTTATCTATTTATTTGTGTTTTTCTTACATTTAGAGTGTCGTTAACCAGTTTTATCAAGTTAAGCAATTGCCACAGCGCATTAAGTACCTTATCAAATATGTAATTTTTTTACTTTGTTTTTTTAATGTTAGGAAAACGGAACAAGAGTTTGAAAAGAGGGAACGGTAACTTCAGGCATTCCACCGGAAAGGAGTAAGTGGTGGGAAGGGGGATATACATAGGTTCAAATTCCTCCAGTGATATAAACTGTCCGTATAACAAAGTTGACGGACGTTGTCACTGACAAACTAACTGCTGAATTATTTGAATTACTGACTTATTTGCAAACTAGCTAGCTTCTTAACCTACTGGCTAAACGGTTGAAAGAGTGACTGTCGCTAGCGGACATACCTCACTGACTAACTGACTCACTAACTTCCTTACTCACTGATTAACCAGCTGACGGACTGACTGACTGAATTACTGACAAAAATGACTGAGCAACTGATAAACCAACAAACTGACTACTTGACCGACTGACTGAACGAATGCTGAACAATCGTCAGAACAACTGTGTGCCCAACCTAGCAGCCAACCGAAAGATTGATTGATAGTTTATTTTATTGACTGATTGACCGACTGATTAAATGACAGAACGGGGCTTTTTACGAAATAATTCTTTTGCAAGATTATAGCGATTGAGCGTTCCTTTTCTTTTCCTTGTTTTACTTTTGTTTCGTTTTGTTTTGTTTGTTTGTTTGTTTGTTTGTTTTTTTTTAAAAGAAAAAGGGAAAAATCAAGATCAATGCGTCAAAAGTCACCTTCGGCTACCGAAGATATCAATGAAGAACACACTTTTGAAGAGGAAACAAAACTGTAGGCAGTTAAATTCGAGGAAATCATTATAAATTCTAAGCAATTTAACAAAAAGGAATGGCAATTAGAAATCTGTAATCTCGTCATTTGTTTTTTATTAAGCGTATAAGATACTTAAGATAGAAAAAAAACTGTTTTGTTTTGAATTCTAAACAATCTAACGAGAAGAAATGGAAATTAGAAATCGATCATCTCGTCTTTGCTTTTTTATTAAGCGTATGAGATGCTAGATAGAAAAAAACAGTGTTGTTAATTTTGCGTCTATTTAGAGGTAAACGAGGACTTAGTTATATTGAACCAATCTGTGTACGTTACTTAGTTAAACCAAATTTCACTCGATCTTTGGCTGTCTTTAAAAAAAAATCCCTGAAAAAACGATTTTTTTTCTAACGATAAGTTATAAGTTTTCAGATTTAGACAATTTAATTGATGTTTTAATGGTTTATGAGTTAGTGTTTCATATCCATGACTGATATGGTCTCCATGGCCACTTCACATATCAGTGACACCATCTTATGGATCGTGTCTACAGTCACAAGAAGTTTCAACTTTCCCTCACCTAAACAAAAACACCCATGCGGTTGATTGGGATCCTTTAAGACACCTGCTATGAGGAGTCTTTTGAGGGCAAATTAAGACAGCTGGAGATGGGAAGCGCATTAAAGGTAGAATTAAGTAATTGAATTGTGTTAATTGGCTTATAACGAGAGGATGTAATACCAAGAATTGTTATGGGAAGTCATTATCAAATATTAACTTCTAGAATGCCCTTTCACGGTGACTTGGAGGTTATGTAACTATGATGCCATTCTACCAGAATTTTAGTGTTTTAGGCCAGCGGAATATTCTAAAATACGTTTCAAGAATTCAGTAATCTAGGAGTAATTATGCGTTTTAAGCTAAACTGAGAGAGAGAGCCACTATGATGTACATCAAAGATTGTGCATTTAAAAGATATTGGGTAAAAACAGTGATTTTGTGTCAGTGGAGAACTAAGGAATAGTCTGTAGTGGTTTGTAGAAGATAATCACGGTATCGCCTAAAGGAGTCGCTTCTAGTAAGCATTTTTACGCATTGTTTAACAACGTAGTTCGGTTTGTAGTAGTGTAGGATTCTTTCTGTCTGTTAGAAAATACCGTGACAAAAGATTCCAAAGTGGTTTTCAAGAGTTTTGATTTGATGCTTGCTCATTTTTCCTGCTTGATTATGTGCTTCATTATTAGAACAATACCAGGTTTTTCTTCATATTTTCTGCAGAGTTCAGAAAATGCATGCTTTCTGACTCATTGGATTATATAACATGTTGACCCTCATTAAAAACAAAAATGATAACCCATGTGCTTATATGAGATAAGAAAACTTTAATTAGTGAAGTTTTAGCAAATTGATCCATTGGCATATCAAAGAAGGTGCAAGTTATAATAGCACCATTCAGCTCATAGAGGTTGATTAAAAATTTTCGTTCTTAGTAATTAGATAATAATATAAATGCTGTATTCAATTGGATTATTACTGTCATTATTATGATAAAATAAAAATAACGAGAGGGATCAATAACACCTTGACTATTTGAAGTTGTGTTTATTTTGTATACTTGGATATTTGCAGAAGAGGCGAGTGTTTACAAACAGAAAATCAGTATGCAACAACGATGGAGTTATTTCTATTTCAGAAGGATAGCGTTTGGAACTAATACAGTATAGTTTTAACTCGGCTTTGAACTTTGGCTATCGTCTGACAAGAGTTGAATAAGAACGCTAATTTACGTTATTATAACGTGATCCTCAAAGACAAAAGTAAATGGGCAGTCCGAGTTTTGAAGGTTTTCATGTACGAAAACAAGAATCAAACACATTTAACACTCGTATAGTATGTATATTTTCGTGTTCAAATAAAAAAATAACAGAACGAAACAAAACAGGAAAGATGAAAAA